CCCCCCGCTTCTTAAAGCCATGCCAGCTTGCTTCAAAGCAAATGAATCCTTTCCGAAACCATCATGAGAGCATTCCCCTCCGCTTGAAAGGGGCGGGGGGGGGGGGCTGCGCTTTTTAGCCGGGCAAGCTTGCTTCAATCATACGAATCCCTTCCAAACCCATGATGATGCGAGCATTGTGTTGCAAATGGGGGGTGGGGGGGGGCTGCGCTTTTTAGCCGGGCAAGCTTGCTTCAATCATACGAATCCCTTCCAAACCCATGATGATGCGAGCATTGTGTTGCAAATGGGGGGGGGCTGCGCCCCCCCCCAACCCCCCCGCTTTTTTTAGCCGGCAAGCCTGCTTCAAAGCTTACGAATCCCTTCCAAACCCATGATGCGCGCATTGTGTTTTCAAATGCGGCGGTCTGCGCAGCCCCCAACCCCCTGAAAAAAGAGGGAATATATGCCTGCTTTCCTACGAAAATTCAGACCTTATAGTGGAAGTTGAATTTTCCGTTTAAAAATAGAGATATAAACGTCTTCTTAGTAAAGAATCGAGAAAATAGAGCTTGTGTTATGAGACATGAACAAAAACACTTGTTGTCTACGAGTTACAGATAGAGATAATGCATGTACTCTAATAAAGAGAAGATGTCTGAAAATACTGACAAAATAAAAAAAACTATAGAACAATAGAGGTTTTCGCTCTACAATATAGAGAAATTAGATGTTTCCTATGACAACATAGAGGAAATAGAGGCTTTCATACGAAAATATAGCGAACATACAAAGTGTTTTCATATCAAAATGTAGAGGTCTTGATATTCAAATATAGAGAATAGAGGTCTTCATGTTCAAATGTTAAGACAATGGAGGTTTGCCTATTCAGAGACAGAGAAAATAATGGGCTTCCTATTAAAATAGGACAAGAGGAACAAAACACTTTTAATTGCAAGTCACACATTGAGATAACACAGACAATAAGTTTCTCATGTATTCCTCTCTCATGTCTTCCTCATTAAATATAGAGGAAAACTATGACGATATAGACAAAAATAGAGAGAAATAGAGGTTTTCGTTATAAAATATAGAGAAATAGAGGTTTTCGAATTAAAGTAGAGGTTTTCATACTAAATGTAGAGAAAACAGAGGTTTTCATATTCAAATATAGAGAAGAAAGAGGTTTTCCTATTCAAATATAGAGAAGAAAGAGGTTTTCCTATTGAAAATTAGAGAAAATAGAGGTTTTCATAGTAAAATATAGAGAAAACAGCAAAAACGCTCCGCACCCGCAGCAAAAAAAAAACGCGACCCCACGGCACCCGCAACAAAAAAAAACGCGCCCCCGCAGCAAAAAAAAAAAACGCCCCCGCACCCGCAGCAAAAAAAAAAACGCGCCCCCGCACCCACAGCAAAAAAGCACCCGCAACAAAAAAAAAAAACTCTTACCGGGTTAGGGGTTAGGGTTTAGGGTTTAGGGGTTAGGGTTTAGGGTTTAGGGTTTAGGGTTTAGGGTCTGGGTTGGGATGTTCCCCCTTATGCTGATAGTTCTGAATAGGGGTTATAATTGGGGGCATTCGAATCCCTATTGAGGACTCTTGGTAGAAGGGCATCCCAAGATCGGGGTCTTCAGGATAAGGAACCACAAGACCCCGAAACTCAGACGTCCTAGCCCTTTTCGCTTCAACCACACCGAGGGCGAGGGCGAGGGCGAGGGGGAGCGGGAGAGGGAGAGATCTCTAAGCCCTGCTTCAGTTCTAAACCCCTATAAGCCCTAAGCCCTAAGCCCTAAACCCTAAACCCTAAACCCTAAACCCTAAACCCTAAACCCTAAACCCTAAACCCTAAACCCTAAACCCTATACCCTAAAGGCCGTGGCTTCGGCTAAATTAAGGGTTTAGGATGAAGGGTTTTTAGGATCACCTTCGGGAATGCTTTTCAAAGTGCTCAAACAGGCCAACATCGTAGGGCTTTTTTTTTTGTGTTGTGTTTTAATACGTCAGCCTACACCCGACATGTCTGAGAAGTCTGACAAGCAGTGGCCGTACTCGACTATCCCCGTCTGCCACAAAACAACCTTCTGACCCTCACAAAAAAAGCCGAAACCGGACATGCAGCAGCACCCAAACAGCCCTAGCAACACTCTTTCCCAAAACCATTCGGAACCATCAAGAGGTTGTAAGGCGGGATTCAAGCGAAGAAAGCCCTAACCCGCACCAAAACCACGTACATCACCCAACAAACCCTGCCAAAAGGCTTCCAGAGGCCGAAAGATGCTCCAAAAGCTCTCGAAAAGTTTCGAAAGCATCAGGATCCCAAGAGGGCCCCCAAGAGCGCCCCCAGGAAAGGCCCTACAAGGCGAAACGGCTCCCTTCCCAAAGCAAACCCCCACAACCAAAACCCCCCCCCCCCCCCCCCCCAAAGCTTTCGCCCAACACTCCGGACACGAATCCTACACAGTTCCGAAACGCCCCCGAACCCCAAAACCCCAAAACCCAAACACCCCAAAACCTCAAAACCCTCAACCCCAAAAACCCAAAACCCAAAACCCAAAAACCCCAAAACCCAAAACAGCTCCAAAATCCAAAAGCCCCAAAAACCCCAGAATAAACCCTAAACCCTAAACCCTAAACCCTAAACCCTAGACCCTAGACCCTAAACCCTAAACCCTAAACCCTAAACCCTAAACCCGAGGTCCTGGAGCTCCAGAATCAGGCCGAAGATGCCCTGGCCAAGATCCAGGCAGACCCCCAGGCGCCCCTGGAACTGTAGGGTTTGGGGTTTAGGGTTTAGGGTTGAGGGTTTAGGGTTTGGGGTTTAGGGTTTAGGGTTTAGGGGGTTTGGGGGTTGGGGGTTCAGGCTTTAGAGCTTAGGGTTTGGGGGGTTGGGGTTTTGGGGTTTGGGGGGTTTAGTATGTTTTGGGGGTTTGGGGGTGCAAGGGTTGTATGGTTTAGGGTGTAAGTGTGTAGGGGTTTAGGGGTGTATGGTTTAGGGGTCAGGGTTTTGAGGTTTAGGGGCTTAGAGGTTTGGAGCTGGGACCTGCAGGCATCGACCCAGCTGAGTGTTCATGAGGGTGAGGAGTCTTGAGGGTTCTTAAGGGTTCTTGAGGAGTCTTGAGGAGTCTTGAGGGGTCTTGCGGGTTCTTGAGGGTTCTTGAATGTTCTCATAGTTCAGGGTTTCAGGGTCTGTGCAAGCAGCCCAAAATCTGGTGTATCATGGAGGGCCTCATACACCAGATGTTGGGCCGCTTGTCAGGGGCTTCCCAGGACTTTCTTGGGGTTGGCAGGGGCCATGGAGGCCTTTGGAAGCCTTTGAGCAAGCACGTCAACCCATGGAAAGAGGAAGTATTTCGCAAGCAGGCACTTGAACCGAGTTTAAGCTTAAACGCTAAAGGGAATAGGTTAGGGTGGTTTTGCCGCCTGAGACAGTGCGGGAGAAAAGGGTTAGATGGCCTCCGCAATCGGGCCATAGCTGCCTTTCGCATCCCACGACTCGAAAATCGTGAAGTAGACAGAAATTTATCAAAATATGATTAGCTCTCTGCAATCATATTCTGCTAAAGATCAAATTCTCCAGCCAGAATTTGAAATATGAGGTTTTCAAAGATTCCCAATATTGCAAGATATCTCGAAAGTCCTATTTGAACATCGCAAAACATCTCGAATTTTGAGAAATCGATATGGGTTCCTCAGAATATTTTCTCAACTTGAGCTATCGAAATTGCCAATCTCGAGATTTTGCTCTGCAATCGAAATTGCTGAAATAGATGAAGATTCTTCAGCCAAAGTTGCCCGATTTGAAATATGAGTTTTTCAGTAGCTTTCAATGACACATCCAGTATCACAAAATAGCCGGCCACCCCAGAAAGATTCTGAAAGAATAGAAGCCCACCCCAAAAAATATGAAAAACAAAAGAAAATTGTTCAATACGTTTCGTTCAAAACGATATTGGGACCCAAACCCTACAATTTTCTTCAAACCCGAAACCCCTTGAGGCGGACCTTTCCTTCATGCTCAAGGACTTCGGGATCGGAGATCTCCGCGATGCCGCGAACACTGCACATGTGGGGGGTTTAGGGTTTAGGGTTTAGGGTTTAGGGGATCCAAATCTTCCAACGGAGCTGGGCTAAGGGGTCATGGGACTGAGGGTGCACCCTTGATCTAGGACCCAGAGTCGGCCCTGATTCCCTTTTCTTAGGGTTTCGGGTTTAGGGTTTAGGGTTTGGGGTTTAGGGTAACTAGGACACAGAGTAGGCCCTTATTCCCTTTTTTTAGGGTTTAGGTTCCCTTATATGCCCTTTAAACCAAAAAAGGGCACCCTTTGTATTTCTAGGTTACTCCTGGGTCTAGTAATTGAGGAATATGACAGTATTTCTCTTTCAACTGTTATGCGCAAGGGTTATAGGGCTTAGGGTTGAGAAGTCTTTTGCGTAAGGTTCCTGAACCAAGCACTTGTGGAAGATCTACCGGGATGAAAGGCATCGGGGGTGGTGCTCAAAGAGCAGCTGTGCGCACTAGAACCACAGCCTCAAGGAGCTGCAAGGAAGCCTTTTGCCACAGGTTTTTGCTCTGTAGTGTAGAGGGAACCGGACCATAGTTCAGAGAACACCCCCGTATGCAAATAGGGGTGTTGCTTAGGCCACATTAGATAGAAGGGCCCGTAGTTTCACAGGCTCCTCGAGAAGCATCCTCATCTGGGTGACCTTTGCAGCTTTGCGTCGTTTGGGCTTTGCGAATATCGGCTTCGAGAGTTCTTGTTTGTTATCTGAGGCCTTCGGGCTTAGGATTTCGCCCTCGGCCCCAAGCCCTAAACCCGAAGCCCTAAGCCCTAAACCCTAAGCTCTAAACCCTAAACGTAAGGCCTAAGCCCCTAAGCCCTGAGCTCTAAGCCCTAAGCCCCTAAACCCGTAAGCCCCTAAGTCCCTAAGCCCCTACTGTAAGTCCCTAAGCCCCTAAGCCTAAACCCTAAACCCGAGCGACCCTCACCATCCCAGGCCACCAATGTGATCAACGACATCATGGACGACAAGACCGCTGCGGCCACTCAGCGCTGGCAGCGCCTCATGATCCAGGCTCCTTGGCCTTAGGGTTTAGGGTTTCGGGTTTAGAGTTTAGGGTTTAGGGTTTAGGGTTTTAGAGTTATTATGATTTATGTATGAATGTTGATATAAATAGAAGTATGATAATATGGTTCTCTCTTATCGAACAGATTTTCCTCTATTCACTCTCTTACTCTGTTAATTAGAAAATTAATATTAAATTTATAGGATAGGGTTTATATAAATATTTTTCTTTTATTTTTCCCAGAATTAATTGAATCTAGAATTAATTGAATTTTAACATTTTTGTGTAGGGTTGTGTAGGGTTGTGTAGGGTTGTGTAGGGTGTAGGGTTGAGGTTTCAGGGTTGTGTAGGGCTGTTGAGGGTGTAGAGTTGCTGAAGCCTGGCCCTAGACTATACCTAAAAGCATCCCCAGAAGGTTGGGCGGCGCTTGCAGAACTACCGCTTCATCTGATCTAAGCGTCTTTACATGGTCCCTTACCTTCCTTAAAGGGCTCTGAAGTATGGGCCCTTGGGTTTTTATAGGGTATATAGGAATATATGAGGTCCGCAATGACCATGTAACTACCCTTAGAGCGGAAGGGAGGCAGGTGTTTGTCGACGGCTGGGGTTCTCTTGGGTTTGTTCTTGAGCCCTAAGCCTCAAACCCTACACCCTAAACCCTAAACCCTAAACCCTAAACCCTAAACCCTAAACCCTAAACCCTAAACCCTAAACCCTAAACCCTAAACCCTAAACCCTAAACCCTAAACCCTAAACCCTAAACCCTAAACCCTAAGCCCTAAACCCTAAACCCTACCCTAAACCCTAAACCCTAAACCCTAAACTCTAAACCTTAAACCTTAAACCTTAAACCTAAACCCTAAACCCTAAACCCCAAACCCTACACCCTAAACCCTAACCCCTACACCCCGCAGGCCAAGTACCAGTGGGAGGATGACATCCCCTTCCCTGTGACGAAGCGCGGGCCGCCAGCGAGATTTCGGCGCACCCTAAACCCTAAACCCTAAACCCTAAAGCCTAAAGCCTAAACCCTAAACCCTAAACCCTAAACCCTAAACCCTAAACCCTAAACCCTAAACCCTAAACCCTAAACCCTAAACCCTAAACCGAGGGCCCCTGAGGGCGAAGAGGCTCAAGCACAATAAGACGTGAGGGTTGAGGGCTTCGGGAGCCCTAAACCCTAAACCCTAAGCCCTAAACCCTAAACCCTAAACCCTAAACCCTAAACCCTAAACCCTAAACCCTAAACCCTAAACCCTAAACCCTAAACCCTAAACCCTGAACCCTGAACCCTGAACCCTGAACCCTGAACCCTGAACCCTAAACCCTAACCCTAAGCCCAAAACCTTAAACCCTAAACCCTAAACTCTAAACCCTAAACAGGGAGAGCTGTTCTGGATGGGGAGTGTAGGGTTTAGGGTTATAGAAATTGTAAAGGGTGTGTGTCCAGAGTTTCGGGGCGTTTTTGTGTGTGGGGGGGGGGAGGGGGTTGCCGGGTTTTGTTTTGGCTCTTGTTTGGGAAGGTTTGGGATGCTTTGTCGGCTTTTTTCGGGTTTGTGTCCGGAGTTTTGGTAGGTGCGTTTTTGCCGGGTTTTGAGGACTGAAATCTTGCCAACTTCGTTTTCGGTGGTTTTGGGAGGTTTGGGAGGTCTTGTCGGCTTTCTTTGGGTTTGTGTCCGGAGCTTTTTTTTGTTGGGGGGTGAGGCCTTGGGGGTTTTTTCTCAATTATGAGGGATGCAGGATTATTGTACGAGCTGCTCGCAATGAAAGGCGCACAATTTCTCTTTATCCTGGCCTCGAGGGTTTAGGGTTTAGGGTTTAGGGTTTAGGGTTTAGGGTTTAGGGTTTAGGAACCCTCGATGAGATCCTAACAACCGGACTTATCCCCCCGAATCCTTCCTCAGGCGCGGGGTGCAGAAGCCACGTGGAGACAAGCGAAACGAGCGCATCATGGTCTCTCTGAAGAACTACATCAGCGGCTCCAAGGCTGGTGGAGAGGGAAGGGGTTTAGGGTTTAGGGTTTAGGGTTTAGGGTTTAGGGTTTAGGGTTTAGGGTTGAGGGTTTAGGGTTTAGGGTTTAGGGTTTAGGGTTTAGGGTTTAGGGTTTAGGGTTTAGGGTTTAGGGTTTAGGGTTTAGGGTTTAGGGTTCGGTTTAGGGTTTAGGGTTAGGGTTTAGGGGTTGAGGGTTGCGGGTTGAGTGTTGAGGGTTGTATGGTTTGTGGGGGGGGGGGGGGGGGTGTAATTCAGTCTTCTGGTTTAGGATCCAGGCTGCAGGGTTTAGGGTTAATTAGGGCTTCAGGTTTGTTGCCACATCAGATGTCACCAAGCATCACCTCATGGCGGAGCCGCCCCTGAGCGGTCCCGAGAAGGACCCGAAGAAGTTGGGCGCCGAGTGCCTTACCGAAGATTTGGAAGGCAGCCACATCGAGACGGCAACAGGGTTTAGGGTTTAGG